TGGGTGAGAGGTGTGGGGTATGGGGCTTTCCCTGACATGGTGGTTGTTCTTTCCATGGTACTGCCACCTTCACACCAAGGTGACACTGAAGTTAACTGGCAGAAATCCTTGACCTGCTTGAGGTAAAGAATCTTAACAATGGGATACTGAGGTTGTTTCAGTCAACAAGTGAAGTTTTGGCAAATAGGGGATTTAGCTGGATTCAAAAGGTTAGCTGTATTTGCCAAAGGAAAAAACCCTGCCTCTTTTTGATGATACACACACAAAAGACAATGAGGTTTCATTTAAATAAATAAATTGACAACCACTGCTCTGGAGGCTCTGGATGTGAACCGGTACCAGCAGCGTAAAGTCATTTCAAAGCAGAGTGAATGTGATTTTCACACCTATTCTTTTCTAATTTAGGTCCTTTTGAAATCCAAGCACTCCTCTATTACTAATTTGTTATGCCAATATTAATTAATGGTTTTACTCTACAGCAGTAAGAATGCTGTTTAGACTGAGTGAGATAGATTAGAAAGACTTGAAGATTAGTAAAACAATCTGTAAATTGGTCAGATGTGGTTGGGAGCCACCTTGATCTTCTGAAATGAGCACACTGTACTTGGCAACTCCGGGAGTGTGTTGTGTGCGTGAATTCCTGGCAGTGCAGACTCATTAGAGCTGGTTAGGTCAGCACTCTCTGATGTCGCCTCCTGTTTTGGAATGTAAGAACATGAGCTTCAAAGGTGGGGAGAAACAATTGTCAGACTTGCATAAAAGCTGATAATTGAAGAAATTGCATGTTATTTGATGGACAGTAAGAATTCAGAACAAATGTGCTAGAAAACAAGGAGCAATATTTAGTGACTTATAGAAGGTGCAGTGATACATTGTAATTTCCATTCTCCTGACTCACTTTATCTCTGTCGTGAGTTTAGCAGATCTCCAGGCTTCTATCCTGGCTATTTTGATCAACATGGTATGCCCAGCCTCAGATTATCAATAGTATTTATCTTACACTTCAGTGCATGGTACAGATAAAACATTTGGTTTGAGGAAGAACTGGCAAATCTTGTGACCATTTCAGCTGGTTCTTGGATTATCTCTTCACCCTATACACGGGTAAGAGCTCAGGTCTCCCAGTCACCATTGTGGCTGTATGAGACTCACAGAAGTGGATTAATGCACTGCTGATGGCAGTAAAGAAAGCATGACCTTAATTATTTTGGCTTTAAATTATGAGATTAATTTTTTTCTGGTGTAAATTGTAATATACTTTTGTTTTCCTTTTGGGTATAAGTTTGCAGTTAGCCCAAACACATTGTGCAGCAATCACAGGAAAAAAGTCAGAGGCACAGTGATGCTTTTTTAAGAAAGCACTGGTTTCGTAAAGTGCTCCCAATTTCACAGCGTGTTTTCAGCATTAGCAGGTGAGGGGCAGGAGAGGCAGCTGAGGAAGCAAGCTGGATGGCAGATGACCCAGGGAACTGACCTATTTCTGGCTTTGCTATTTTTGTAGTTCTTTGTTTCATCTGATTCCGAAGAGATCAAGGTGATAGGATTTTACATCCGTGCTCTACATTTCCTGGTGGTTCAGGAAGCCTCCTGTGTAGACATCACTTCTCAGGACAGACTGGAAGGTATAGAATCATAGAGTCATAGAATTATTAAGGCTGGAAGAGACTTCCAAGATCATCGAGTCTGACCTTTGACTGAAGACCACCATGCCAATTAACCGCAGCACTAAGTGCCACGTCCAGTCGTTTCTTGAACACCTCCAGGGATGGTGACTCCACCACCTCCCTGGGCAGCCTGCTCCAATGCTTAACTACCCTTTCAGTGAAGAAATTCTTTCTGATGCCCAGCCTGAACTTCTCTTGGCACAGCTTGAGGCTGTGTCCTCTCATCCTGTCACAGATTGCCTGGGAGAAGAGGCCAAACCCCACCTGGCTACAACCTCCTTTCAGTTAGTTCTTCTTAGGGTGCTTCTTTTGATGTTTTAAATTGAATCTCCCTTAGTCAGCAGAGAAGTGTCTGTCAGTCCAAGGTCATGCCCAAGGCCCAGGCTGAGGGGCATCGGGTCCCCTGGAAGCCCTGATGAACAAGGTAGAAACATATGTGGTTCGGAGGCCCAGCTCATAAGACGTCTGACTTTTGACACTGTTTTGGACACTGTGAAATATAAAAGTTCAGGATAACTGGACTAACGGTGTTACAAGATTTTTGGCTATTTCCTGTTTCCAGTCAGGCTGTAATCAGGAAAAGCCAAATTGTGACCACCTACACATCATTGGCAACAGCAAGGGGAACAGGAGCAGAGACATGCAAAGTTGGAATAGTCTGTGTAAAGGATAAATACAGAGATAAATACACTCTTGGATTCTGCAAAATACTCAAAATATAGGTGAAAATTCTTACAGCTGATCTTGTTTACCTCTCGCCATAACCAATGAGATAGCTGTTTGGTATTCCAACAAATACAATTAAGCACATGAGAAGAGTGAATGGTTGGATAGAACAACAGTAGCTCCTTATTCTGTGAAGAAATCAATCCTTTCTAACAAATTTTACCCCTAAGCTGTTTGGATTTCAGGCTGTTGTCCTGCTTTTAAATACTTTTGCACATAAACCAAGCCTACTTAGCAGGAATACTTTTGAAAACTTGGCTTGAAACCTGTCCTTGAAATTGTGGTTCACATAAAATCTGGGAGACAAGAAGGAGCTGAAACGTTTGGAACAACAAGCTCTGACCACAGCTCATTGAGAGCTACACTCTCCCCAGCATGGTTACACCACTTTGACGGACCAACCAGCCAGATGGGCTGAATGAAGCAGTGAGCAAAGGCAGTCACTTGAGGAGATGCTGCATAACACAGTGAGAACAAGAAAAGATGCTTCCGGATTTAGTGCTTAAACTGTAACTCAGCTGAAGTCAGTGGAAAGAGGTCTGTTGGTTTCTATGGAAGTTGAGTTATGACTTAAGGGAGCAACTCAAATTCAGGTTTTGTGTCACAGCTGCTATATCTGTTGATGAGAGCAGCTAGTAAGGAGGTCAACAGAAATCAGCGTTAAGGCTTATCTCCCAATTAATGTGCTGAATGCTGGCATTAAAAGGGCCGAGTAATCTCGTAGTTGGACAATACATAACCACTCAAAAAATACTGACAGAGAAAGTTCAGTGACACCTTTTCACTGACATTTATACTTCCATAACAGTGAGAAGAAGAAGATAAGGAGGGCAGCAGTCTACAGAGAGGAGAAAAGGCCATAAAAAAGGGAACATCGACTGAAGAATGTGCCACCTAGTGAACAGTTGGAGACTGAGGTAAAATGTGATATTCAGGTAGAAGGTGATTTTGAAGCCAAGCAACCAGGGAGTATTTCAGAGAGTTCAGGAACTGAGTTAGTGATACTTGTGCTGCAGTTTCAGAATGTGACAAACCATCAGTTGAGGAATTTACCTGCTGACACACCCAGCAAGGTTCACTGGAGCAGCAAAGCACCCAGCAGAATGGGACTACTTCTTACCAGAATTAATTTGGGTAGGAAACACTATAGGTATCTCATTGAAAACTATGTGTACTTTGAAGGAGCACTGGAAGGATGAAACTGCCAAGTTGGCCAAGGTTTCCAAAATGCCTGCAAAGCACGGTGTGAACATCACTGCGATTACTGAACTATGTTATTATCCCGCTGGTTCATGGAGTTTGCAAAACAGAATTAAAAGAAAGGGGTGGAGGGTTATGGTGTATTTTAGAATTTCTCATATTTGTCATGTTTTCTTTTTGGAAACATAGGAAGGAATCTTATGGGTCAACAAATAAATTCTTGGGTCCTGCAGGCAATCACGTCACCTCACGTCACCTCTCCTGTCAAACTTGTTGAACATATAATGCACACTTTTACTAATGTTAATGAGAATTGCTACTCATAATTTGCATTTACACACTACTTAAGGATCTTGAAGTGTTCTTTCATATAATATGCTCATTTTTATTACAGGCATGTTGAATTTAAATGACTTGCCTAGGGTGTCACTGCAAGCTAACAGCAGAATGACTCTTAGTGCTCCTAGTGCTTTGCATTAAGCCCTGGACGTTAACAACTTTTTTCATAAAGGGAGTTTTGTAACGGTAGATCACCTCCCAGTGCTGGTGAATCAAACCTTTTCTGATAGTGCAAACAAATCAATAAATTACTTGAACACATGTAATGCTTCCCAGTGTCTTCTAATCCTGGCTTCCTTTGAACTTAGAAAATTGATGCAAGTCTGAGTAATGCTAAGATAGCCTTTGGCATATGACCAACTATGAAATTCTTATGTGTGAAGTATGTACCTCAGATCTATATTTTCTGTATGAATAGAGAAGTAATCTCTACATTTGTTCCAGAAAAACTTTAGAGCTTTCACTATCCCTTATGCTGTTGGAGGTATATATATGAAAACAAAAAAACCCCGAAACCAATACAAACAAAGAAAAAAAAACAAACAAAAAATCGACTCCAAAAGTAAGTCTATAATAAGCAAAAGTCCTTAACTTTTCCAATGGCAGAATTGCTGTGATACAGGCACATTCCTTGTCATTGCTGTCTCCTCTGAATGACATGGTCCTCATAAAAGTTAACTCTAAAAGGAGGAGATGGGACATCCTTTTGTTTATGGTCTCCTTTCTGTAAAGAAAGACGCAGTACCACAGAATGACCTGATTTTTCTGCCTGTGTCAATGTCATTGTCTCTAGAAAATTGAAATGTTGATATTTCCCCTTAAATTTTGGCCTCTCATCTATGCCTCTTATGGAAGGGGTTGAAAATTCTACCCAACGATTTCAGGATACTATTTCCAAGCTTTTGCCTGTGGCATCTGGCTCTTTCTATGAGAAAAGAGTTGTTTTGTGGCATGGCACTAGCTGTAGCACCAGAGGAACCATCTGGTAGAACAGTAACACCTGCAGCAATACCAATCCCACTCATCAAAAGGGTTCCTCCAGCGTGGCAGTGGCCACCCAGGAGCTCTCACCTGTGGCAAATGGTGACATTTACTCCTGCTGGGAATGTGGCTGGGCAGCCGAATGTTAAAGAGGGCCTGCAGGGCTGCCTGTGCTGCTTGACCCTTGGCCAGCTTCTTGCTACGTCCTGAGCCCTCAAACGTTCTCCCGTCCACTCGCACGGCCATCACAAAGCTCTTGATGTGCTGCTTCTCCACCGTCTCTGACAGGCAGACATACCGTAGGCCCGACCGCAGCTCATTCAGCAGCACCACAGGATTCTTCTCACTCTCGGCTTTGGATGCCACCCTGTGCTTGCTCTGCTTCCCGTGGCCCATTAAGTCCAGCGTGTGGCAGAGCAAGCGCCCATGTCGGTAAGCGGTGGAGAGCAACTCGTTGTTAACGGGGTTGTAGACTGAGAAGTCCTCACTGTGTGTAGATGGTTCAAACTCCTTGAACAGAGTGTCTGGAAAATCTGCCTGATCAGAAGTAAAGTCCGTGGATGGGTTGATGCAGTTTCCCATGGCGAAGTGGGCTTGGCAGGCGTTGGGGAACTGAACGAATGACTTCAGGGCTAGCTCCGCAGCACGCATTTTGGCTTTCTTTTTTGTGGGCCCCGTGCCTTCAAAGGTAAGTCCATTTACTTCCACAGCAACAGCAAAGACGGGAGCATGCACTGGACCAGTCTGGGAAACCATTTTATATTGTAATCCTGGTTTAAGTTCGTGTAGCTGAACCAGAGCATTCTTTGGCGTCACTGACCATGAAACTTTCTTCCAGATGAGCTGGAGTTTGCAGAAATGGCCATTATTGCCTTCCTCTAAGGGTCTTTTTCTCTTACTGCTAGGTGTTCCCCCTCTTGCCCTCTCAGTAGAGGCTACTGGATGATCCTCCAGGTTGCCAATGTTTCGATTTTCCTTTACTTCTGCACTGCTGGTACCTGTCAGTAAAGAAAGAAAAAAACTCACATTACAGTTATCATCATAGTAGCTGACATTATGCCTAGGGCTGGCAGAATAGCCAAAAAAGAAAAAAAAATTAATGATAGATATCCTTGCTCATCCCTTTCTATGACTTTTCCTTCAATATTTGTATAATGGTTGGTTTATTATTAATAGCACAGATTTTTTTTTGCATGTCCTGGATGTTTACTTGTCTCTAAAGGTCCACTTCTATTAGTCATTAGCCTTCTGTTTGAAAAAAAATTACATCATTCAAAGATGAAGCATAACAGATGCCACGTGACTTAAATGAACTGCTGGATAATTACTAATAAAAAGTGAATAGTTTGTAAAATTCCCTTAGGCTTTCTATAATCCATGTGGATGAATACTTATGAACACATTATTAGAAATCAGAAATGATTCCCAAATGATTCACAAACAGAAAAATGGGCCAATGTATTGAATAATCTATTTGCAATGAATAAATTGACCATCCCTGCTCATACCATAGGCTCTTGTGCTGTCATGAATCCAGCCTAGAAAATGATCTAAAAGACCTTTCTAGCATTTGAAACAATGATTTGGTCTGGACTCATGTCCCAGTTTACTAAGTGAATGCCTTTCTATCAAATTCAATTGCAGATACTCATAGTCTCTGCATCATCAAAAACTAATCTAAATGAGACCAGGAAAAGCCAGAGCATCATGATGGGAACAAATACTGATGTAAAGGATGATCTGTGTCAAAGAAAAGCAACGGGAGAGAGTGACTGCCAGGAGTGCCAGGAAGGGAATGAAATGACAATGGGGAGCTATGGAGGGAGTACTCTGTTGCTGTTGTTGAGCCAGTGAATCCCCCAACGCTCTGAACTGTGCTTGTGCAATGTCCGTGCTGCGAGGCAGTGCCCTGCTGCAGCAGAGGCAGGACTGAGAATGGAGATTCATCTCCCTGAGGTCCTGAATGAGATACAAAGTATACTGCTGTCTAAATAATCATCCTATAACATTTCTGTCATTTCTGATGAGCTTGTTTAAATGTGTTGCACCTCTGATACATCCTTCAGTGCTCCTGTGCATTCCTAGTGGCAGAGACAAGCGGAGAAATTAAATACGAGTGTAACCAACCAACCTATGAGGCAACTCATCCCTGGAGCAATGCACCTCCCTTTCCAAGCAGAGCACTGCGTGGCTGCCTGCTTTACTGCGACCAGCACTGGGCATGAAGCCTTTCCTGTGGTTTGTTATTGTCAGACATGAGCATGCCACCTGCACAGGCTGTGTCAGTCCCATGCTCTGTGGTCCTCAGAGGACAGAGAATAGTCCTCCCTTTGGGAGGGACCATGGCTATGGTCACATTTGGTTTCCTCTCTGCCCTGATGTACAAGTTGGCTGCAAGGACGTAAGGGGTGAGCTCCCTGCATAAACCTTGAGAAACTTCTGCTGGAGGGGTGCGTCTTTGCTGCATCTCAGTATTAGGCTGGTCTGACAGATGCACAGGAGCCTGCAGAGGATTATGTGGAACAAACCATCATGATAAAAAACCTCCTGACCCATTGCACTTGTATTAAATATCGAAAGACTTTTTCCCATCAGAGCACTTATGTTACATGTGAAAGTTGTTCCACAGAGAGCAGATTACTGCTTAGACATGAGTGAAAATCATGGCTCAAATGACGCATATGGAGGCCCATTTGGAGAATTGAGTCTTTAGGCTTCTTGTTCTGAAAACTCTTCAGCACATAGTGAGCTTCCAGCCTGTGCCTATGTCTCACCAAAGGTACTTGGAGAGTTATCTTCTGCAATGCTTTGCTAAGGCAGAATGTGAACTGACAAATTAAGGTCTTAGTGACTAGTTAATTTTTAGTTTCTGAAGCTAAGGGGGGAGAACAAAGACAAATGAGGAAGGAAAGCAAAAGAAATACATAATAGAAAAAGGAAAGTTTCATCATATGGCATTCAACTGTATAAATTATAACATCTTTAAAGCAGCCTCTCTGGAAATAAGACATTTAAAAGTCACGATAACTAAGGCACAAGGATAATGCGGTGTTTTTTTCACTGAGTTCACAACTCTCTTTGTAGAAACTCTGATCTGATGGGAAAGGACATGCTAACTTTAACTTCGTCTATCCAGCATGGCATTGGCTTTGGCCAGCTATTTTCCATCATGACCCTTTCTTATGTTTCCATCCCACTCAGAAGATATCTCTTTAGTTGTGTGCATTTTTTAAAATAAAGATGAAAATTTGATGCAGACATATTTTTTAGCAGGAAGCAGATTTGGTTCTGTATTTCACACCACCTCTCTCATCTTACCTAATAGGTTTTTACAGAGCCAATTATGGTACATAATGATATTGTAGCCAGGAAGCATGAAAAGAAAGATAGCTCCTGCTTCACACAATATTCAGGTCTGAAAAGAATTTGTATTGATTATGCACCACTGAATAGGAAAACTCAAGGGGTGATTTGTGTTTATAATTCAAATTGTTTTATTCCAACTGTTTTTTCTTTCATAGTCAGAGAACCACAGATTTGTGAACATGAACGTCTGACCTTAACATCTTATCTTAACCACCCTCAATAAAACAGTGGTTCACTAAAACCATGGCAACATAAAATAAACATTGCTTGTTTGTCTTAAATTGTGTCTATGAAATTGTCTAGTCCAGGCTTTGGCCAACAGAGAGTTTGCGTTGATACAGTGAAAAAAATGCAGAGATCAGGCACAAAGGATTTGTGGACAAAGCTGGGCATTCATGACAGTGACATGCCTGTATTTATGGTGCATTTTGACCTAGTCACAGTGAAGGAAATCCATGTAAGTATCCTTACAGTCAACCAGATTTTAGAGGACCTGATCCTGAAACACCAGGAAACAGCCCAGTTTTTCCCAGGCCTCAGCTGGAGCTGCAGCAGCCAAAATTCACCATGGCATGTAAATCAGAGGCAGCATAAACTCGGGGAGTGCCTCAGAAAGTCTGGGAGCCTGATGGACTTGTGTGATACCTGGCAGCTGCCAGGAAATGTGGAATTACTTTATACTTTCAGGTATCTTTGAAATAGGAAATCTTTGAAATGTGTCTTTTATGAGACCTCTGTGTAGCAGACATAAGATTACCTCTCTAATGGTGGCACATGTAGTTCTATTGTGAAAGTCAGACAAAGCAGGCAAATGACACCAAACTACGGAAGATAAATACTATAAGCAGCTGTAATAGAACAATCACAAGCAATTTTAGAAATGAAGAGCACTAAAAGGAAAGGGGTAAGTCAGAGGATGCACACAAGGAAAATGCAAAACTGTGTATCATTTTCCGTCCTGTCATCTCTCATAATGTCTTTGTTCTTGAGTTCCCCAAACACATTTTGGGAAAAAAGAAAGATAATAAATTATGGTTTTCCTATGATGAAAGGTTGGAGAATAATAACATTGTAAGGGGACAGAGTTAAAGAAAGGAGGAATAAAAATAACATAAATTTTGGCAATAGTTTCTAATTTATTGTGTAAGTTTTCTAAAAAGTCCCACAGCTTTGCACTGCAATATGTCCTCAGGTAACTTTATTCATTGATTTTTGCAGTTTCATAAGCAACAGGAGACATTGTGATCTTGACTTTGCTTCAGTAATTGAACGGGAGAGAGGAACAGTTAGTGAAATATATTTATTTATGCACTATTCCTCAATCTTCTGTCTGCTCTTTCATGTTTTTTCTCCTTTTGGTCATTATGCACAGTAGAGTTAACCTAGAGAGTTTGCATCATCAAGAGCATTTCAGAACTATAATGCATCACTAATAATGACACTGCCTATGTCTCTAGGTCGTAAGGGCTCTGCAGAACTAACCATCCGATACTCCACGCTACATTTGAAGAGATAATATTGTTCCTGTTGAAGGTTATTCTGCTGCCAAGACAAGTTCTAGGGAGGATGGGAGAGGAGAGGTGGCATCTTCATTCTGGCTGGCATCTTTATTTTGGTTGGCATCTTTACTATTGAATTACAATGGGCACTACATTATTGAAAAGCTGTGGAAAGAGAGAATTTGCAACCTCTATAGCAAACTCCTGATTCAATGATAGCTCTGACACAGTCAGTTACTGTCTTTAGAAACGTTTAGTAAACACTGTATTTCTATGAACACATTTTTAACAATAGAGGTAGGACTTAATTCTTATTTTTCTGTGTTTTGAAATCTAACCCTTGTTTGACTTGCTTATGTAGAGTACATTTTTGCTGTTCATCTATATCACATTGACTGCAGAGGCTAGAAGGATTGACTTCCATAATTTCCTGGTATACTTGAAAGTGAAAAATCTTAAATCAGAAACAATAGGTATGAACCCCGCAGCCAGAGCCATGGCATCTTTGTCCAGGGTCAGCTACTACATCAAATGCAATGTAGGGAAGTCTCCTCTTGGAAACAAAATGGCATTTCATACAGTTATTGAATCCACAACGGAGGTTTGAGAACTATTCTGATGGGATTTTTAGGTTGATATTCTTGACTTTGGAATAATAAACTTGTAGCTAACAACAGAAATTATTCCTTCATCTCTTACATGAGAACCCACATAGGTATCTTTAAACCTTAATGTAAACCCATGATTTTTCTGTGACTGTGGAACCCTCCTCTCCAGCCATCAGCTCCCTCTGCAGACACTGGGGAGAAGTATATGCTGCAGTGAGCCTGTGTTTATGGCAGCATTCCATAATGAGATCTATAGGAATCATACATTCCTGCTAGAGGTACAACCTAGATTCAAAACTGTCTGTGCCTGGTGGTATTCTGTCTTGATCCCATGGCATAGTGTGGATGGAACGATTAAAGATCAGGGACAGGCATAGGTTTGTAACATCATGAAAGGCAGGCAGGCAGGCAGTGAACAGGGAAAGATTATTCACTGTTTCATACAATCCCAGCACTAGACACAGCAGGCTTGAAGCAATAAAAGGGTGTACTTTTTGACAGCACTCTAAATCACTCCCTGTTCCTGGCTGTTGTTGAGATCAGAAATATCAGTGGGCTCCAGAGAGGACTAGACAGGTCTGTTGATGTCTGAGAAATAGGATGATTAGGGTGCAAACTCTAGCAAAGTAAATTTTTGCTAGGTGCTAGAAAGATATACCAAGGGGAGGATCCCAATTTAAATATCCTTTTTCTCAGTCCATCACTAACAACAAATGTTGAAGACATTGCACAGAGCTAAACTTCCTATTTCTAATCCTCTGTGAGACTTCTTATGTTCTTAGGTACAACTGACTTCTGGAGATGAATAGGTCCTTTTCTTGCATGTTTAAGATTAGGTCTTCATCGGAGACTGATGATTACTTTATACAAAATTCTATTCCAAAGGTGCATGGTGACTTTGATACTTTTTCTAATACTAGTTCATGGATCATAAACCACAAAAATAGTGTCTATATGCTAATAATCACCTGTTGAAAATGAAGCTGTAGTTAACCTACATGGCTCTCTTTGTAAAGAAGGACTAAAGGAATGTGAAACAGGATTTTTATCCATTTCAGCTAGTGGAACTCTGTCCATGGATACACCACAGTATGGGAAGCGACACTCTCATAGTATGCTCAGTGAGCAGAAAGCTACAGGGACAAGCAACCCACTTCTCTACATTGCCAGCATTCTCCTGGGCTCCTGTTAAATTGTTAACACAAAGGAGGTTTCTCTGCTTGTTCAGAGCAAGTCACTGAAGCTCTTTAAAATGCCGAATTACTCCATAGGTACATGTGTGCTGTAGGCTTTAGTAGGATTTATACCACTATATTAGAAGTGAACACTGAAATATAGATGACTTTAAATTAATTCATCCTTTTTTTTTTTTCTAAGACTCTAATAGTAACACCTAAAATGTGTTCTATGTACCAAAAATAAATAGCTGCCTTTTTGCTGGAGCATATGTTTGACCAAAAGGAGAGCTGGGTAGGATGACCCTGAAAACAGTGACATTTGCTATTTTTCTTTCAGAAAACATAGCTTATCCTGTCCACGTGAGCTATTTTAAAGCCCACGCAGGCACAAGCTGTCTTGGCATCACAGTAGCAATAAGAAAATGGTGTTACAGTGTTTGGCTTGCACAAACTTCCTACATTACCTAAAAATAACTAAGTAGCACATTTGGGAACTATTACGCAGGAGGTGCCTGCACAAGCTTATCGTGTGCATAATATGTTTCCTGGGTGTGTGTATACTTCTCATATGTCTTCCTGAAAATGTAGCCTTCCTGGGAGCAATTTTGAAGGATTTTCAGGATTTTTTTGCCTTTGCTAAGATCTGTAAAAGCCTTCCAGTCACTGTGTGCAGCAGAACTGTGTGATGTCCATGTGATGCTCAGCAGCAGAAAATAGCAGGCTGTGCTCCTTCAATCCTCCAGCAGCTCTTCCCCTTGGTGATGCACCATGACCAAACCATGGCAGTTTAGCAACAACAGGGGAAAAATTGCCAATTCCTCCCAGCAACTGACTCTAATAGGGCAACATGTCAGCATGTGTCTGACTGGAAAAGAAACCCATCTGGTAGGTGATGCTAAAATGTTGCTCATTTGGTTCAGAAAGCTTCTCTCTCTCTTTTTTTTTTTTTTTCCCCCACAAAGATTTAAGATGTGTTACAATAAGCAGGGCTGGATAACACAAAATAATTGCTTCTAGGTGAAAAATGGAAGAGCTTACTGAGCGTTATTAAGTCCTAACTGCCCACTCTCAGACTTCGTTTTCCTCCACCTCCATAGTCATGGGCTGAGACAGTTGGCTGAGGTATAAGGGCCAAAGAGAATACAGTGGCTAATTTTTAGGTTACGTCTAGTTTATGTAAGTCTGGTTAATCAATTCTCAATTTGATTTCCTTCCTTCCTTGCTTCCTTCCTTCCTCCCTCCCTTCCTTTTCTTTTCCCTTTTTTTCTTTTTCTTTTGTTCTCCAGGTCATATCACAGAAGTAAACAGCTTAAGTGGATGTCTCAATCCTGCAATCTTTACTTTTACAAAAGTCCTTTTGTAACTGAGGAAATAAAAGCAGGAGGAACACACACCAGAAAATGTCCTTTTTCATGAGAAAAGCAAGTGAGCAAAATAAAGTAACATAAACAGGAAAGGAAAAGGATCTCCACAGTCTCGTGAGTACAAACATCTCACCTTCGTAAGAAGTTTTTCCTTTGTATTTGTGACATACTGTTTACAGCTTCCCCTTTCCAGAGTGCACAGAGAAAACTGGGAAGGTGAGTTGAGATCAACCCCTCCTTTTCTGGAGTCTGGAGAACATGTTTGCACTCAGCATCATGGAATCTTATATTTTACATGAGGACTGGACTTATGGTCTGCCAACAGCTGCAAATCTACCTCATTTCCACAATAGCTCCTACACTGCAGAGCTCTTATTTTTCAACTTTATTATTCATCTATGGAGAAAAGAGACTGCTTACTCAAATTGTCTTCATCCTCCATGGTGGTTGGGCCAGGACTCAGGTACTTGAAGGGTGCTATGAAGGTTGACAGTATGCTTAGTTTTTCTAGAAGAAAACAGAAGAAAAGATACATATAAAATCAGTACTCAGTCAATGCATTCAGTTCTACTTCACAGTTTTACTGAGGTCAAAACATCTTGGCAAGTCTGTTTCTTTTTTAAAATTTTTTTCTGACTCTACAATCCCACCAAAATTCACTGAACTTCGATGAATTTATTACAGCTGGCACACACAAATGCCAAACACACATTTCTCCTGGTTTCTGGCCCCATGTAATGTTCCTTGGCTGCACTTCCCAGAAGTGGTGCCTGAGCACTGCAGAGTGCAGGATGCTTGAACTGGTCCAGCTGGGAACAGGGGAGGCAGTCAGCCCTGGGAGAAGGGACATGAGAACTGCTCTAACGGATGAGACCATCAGCTCCAATGCATGAAACCATCAACTCCTCTTGCTTTCTCTCCCTGATGGAAATTGAAGCAGAAGACTTAGAGAAAGCTCAAGGGTTGATGGTACAAGAGACTACAACGGGTTCTAAATCTATAAATTGTTATGATTTTTGGGAAACCCTTATAGTGTGCACAGAAAGATATTATTCATACAATAAGAACACTATTTGAAATCCCTCTTGTGCATATTCATATTAAGTGCTGTTCCTTTTAACAGTAGTTTCTGTTTATCCTGCAGAGAGTAGATGGCAGAAACATTTACTTCCATGTGCCACAATCAGAATCTGCATAAGATGCCAGGACAGATTCAGCAAAATGAGAACTGATACTGATTTATACTAGCTTAAAATTTGGCTAAGGATTTATCTATAGGGAATTGCTGAAGTTAACACAAACACTAGAAACAGAGCTACATTTAAATGTTTTATTTCCTTTGATAACTAGTTTATTTATCTGGACCTTTACTTTGTTTAGGCCGAATTTCTCTTGACAAACTATGGGGACCTTACTGGGGACCAATATTAACAGAATTCTACTTGACAGAAGAAACAAAAACACACCTTACAAAGGTGATCCACAGCTTTGAAGAACTCAGTTGCTTTCCTAAAGTACTCGTCTGCTTAAAGAGCCTCAGCTATGGCTGAGGAAATAGGTAGCTGAGGCTCACCTATTTCTTCAGGTGGAAATGCTCTGCATCCTGCACATTGTGAACAATGCTGGCCTTTCATCCTGTGGCAGAAGCATCAAAACCAGACCAAAAATATATTCTTTCAAGTGACCCAGCAAAAAATATTTCTATGTGGACTTTCTTTACTAGTGAGAAAATATTTCTCTGAATTTCCTTAAACTACCTCTCTGGTAAACTACCACAGGTCTGGACGACATTCCAGCTGAAGAGCTTTTAAACTTTTTCAGCAGCACACCTGTTAGCTTTTTGGCCTGATTCTTCCTACTTCTGCAAATAATCCTTGCTCTTGTTAAAGACTGTTATCGGAACCCATCAGAAATGACTGCATATGTTTGCCCTTAGCTGGGTAACACTACAGCTCAACTCTATTACGGGAATTCACAGTAAAAACTGACTGCTCTTTGTTAAGTAAATACAATGAGCAGAATAAAAGATTGCCTGAAGAAAACCTTTTTCCGTCCAGAAACCTTTCAGCCCAGACTAATATATAATTAGAGCACAAATTAGCCTCCTTCAATTGCAATTTCGTTAAGGGATTGCAGTGATGTCAGGAACCAAAAGAATGAAGCTATTTATGAATGCTATAGCCAAAAGATTTTCCTAAGTGAATCCTTTCACACTTTTTTGCTAAGGCATTGCTCACTGAGAAATGTGATGTCTCTGTATGACACCATCTCACTGCTTGTGAGACTGTTGGGTTGTGATCACAATAAAAGCTGGTATTCACTCCTGACTTTCCCAAATGGTTTCTTTGATTAAAGTGAAAAGAGCGTAGGCTTTTGGGACCTAATCCAAAAAAACTACATTTGGTAAGGGGAACGCTTCAGATGAGAGACATAGGATCAGGGCAGCCCTTGGCTTCAGCACCAGCAATGACTGTTGTGTCTGGATACTGAGATGCAGTGAGCTGAAGTATGTGTACTCCAGCTGGGCCTGACTGCTGACAGCTGTCATATCTTCAGAACTAACCCTCACGACACTGGATGTCGCACACAAACCTAAATCTTCTTTGCTGAGAAGATACTCTCACTTCTCATAGAGAGTTAACTCATTAGCCAAACAATGAGGACATGTGCTTTCTTGCTGCAATGACTAATGCTTACTTCTGTCACCAATCAAAAAGCAAGCCCATGTAATTTTATACTATATTATTACTAGTTAAATTAATACTTTATGATTTAGTTTTGTGCAATTGATAGGCGAAATTTACTATGTGGATTTAAAATTTATCAATTTAATTTTCCTTTTGCCTTAAGGGATTGTTTAGCCATCTTAAGCTATTGTTATTACTGGTTCTCATCTGTTCCCAAAGACCCTGCTGGTACCTTTGCTTTGTGTGGCAGAGAAACAGGATGTAAAATTTGCTGCACGCTTAGAGCAGCAATGGATGGGTTTGTGTCAACCAAACTCAAGCAGGCCCTAAAACCAGGATATCCTTCCATCATTACAGATAATAAAGATTGTAGTTCAATATTTCAATCCATTGATTGAGCAATGGAAGATTTTGTGTATGTCTGGAAGGAGGAGAAAGGCAGGATTTTGAGTGATCTATGTAAAAAGAGAAAAGCTGTAGTTTACACGTTACACAGATGAATTATTGAGCCTATGGAGGAGGAGAAGATAAATGACAGGGTAATTAAATGTACATGTTTACAGGGAAATAATATGGCTAGGTATAAAACTATTGGTATGATTGTGCACTTCCATCTTTTGCATGTTATTGCCTATTGCCATACAGACCATGGAACACTATTTCTACTTTATTATCAATGGTGAAATTCAGCGTTAATTTAGTTTACCTTTCCAGAACAAGATAGGAGAGTTGTGTATTCACACTTTATGGTTCCTGTGTATGTTAATGCCCATCACAATTAACCTTATTTGCTTAGCAGTTTGATAAAATCTTATGAATAAGAATAAAGGACAAGTTTAGATTAAAAAAAGACATTCAGAAAAATATCATTAAAGCTTCCTTTCTTCTCTCACTCTCTTCTCCTTCCACAATTTTTTTTTTCCAAAAAGAAGCAATGACAGGTAGCCCAAAATTAGAGCAGCTATTTTTACTTTATAATTGTAAATGTTCTCTGTATTTGTTTCAGAGGAAGTTATTTTCCAAGGCTAGGAGAGAGGGTTTAAGAGAAGAAAGCAAGACATTTCAAACCCTCTTTTCTGCAGAAAGGCAGAATACATAACCCTACATTTATGAGAACCAATACAGGAAGATATTATTGCTTGCATTACAGTTGTACCAGAAGCCTCTGATGGCACGAAGAAGAGATTTCATGAGGGCTTACATGGACAAAAAGGAAGCTTTGTTTACAATGGAAATTGAGAGACAAAGAGCAGATATATAGGAATTTATTTCTAGCCACCCTGAAACACTAATGCAGGATGATAGCATCATATTTTGTAGTGCATTCACTATAAAAACAGCCTTCCAAGTGGAAATCTGCTCCAGTACTCTAAGCACAAAAATCACCATTTCTCCTCAGAAGAAACCTCACTCTCCTGTTTTGGAATGGAAAAGGATTTTGGTTCACTCTTCTTAAGGATATATTTTCCAGCAGTAGCAAATAGTTAAAAAAAAATCATGAACACTGTTTTGACAGTAGCCATATAAATAAACAAATAATAAAACCCCATGGGACAAGATATGTTTTGCATGAAATACAGAAAATGGTTTAGTTCGAATGATTCAGCAAAGCCTGGCATATAAGGCAGGCAGCCAAGTTTCCACTAAAATCTGTTCTTTTTGTGAAGTTGCTCTTGCCCTGGAGATGTAGTCAGAAGGCTGGTCACAGGTCTTGTAAATACACTTTTATTGTGAAGACAAGAATACACATATACAGCTATAAACAGCATTCGTGCCCTTCATACCTGTCAGTATTTAAAGGGCACCAGATAATACGGCTTGATCATCAACTCCACGGAAGTTCTTTCACTCTCAATCACCAGAATAAAAGCAATAGAAACAGCAGGAGCTCAACACTTTTAAAAATCAGCCCTTATAGATGTTGGACAAATTGTTTAGCTTTAAGAAGAGCAGACTGAGTGGGGTCATAACAGCAGCCTGCAAGCACATAAAAAGCTGTTGGATAGAAGAAAGGAGCAAACTGTATTCCATGTGCATTAACACAACTAGAAGTAATGGACTTAAATTGCACCAAGGAAAATTCACTTTAGGCATTAAAAAAACCCTTCCTAACTCTAAGGATAGTGCAGTGCTGGGATGGCTTGTCTGGTGGGGAGGTTGAGGAGCTGTTGATGCTGAAGGGCTGTAGGGGAATGGTTTGGCATCTGCAGGGGGTTACACTTGTCCTTGGGCCCATTCCTTGTACTCTCCTATCCCTATGGACCTTGGTAGAAAAACTTGTCCTAACCATGAGATCCCACAGCAGGTTCTAGTTCTTGGAAACTTGGAAAGCCAGTAGTGTCTGCTAATATTAGCTAATCTCTAAGCAGAAGTTTGTGGCATGCTCTTTTGCTTGGCAGCTAATGAGAATTATTAATAAATGTTTTTTAAAAATGCAACCTCCAAAACCAAGAAGGATTAGACAGATGCAAACCAGTGGCTTGCCAGATCAGTGTTAACAATATTTTACTGAATTTGTTTCATTCTCATGTTCAAATTGATTACCATAAGCTACTTTACTTGTCAGAGGTTTCTTCAAAAGTATTCTTTTAAAAACACAATGTGGGCATTATAAACCAGTCCTAAGTAATTAATTTGGTTTGTGTGGAGTATGAAATTACTCAGGAAGGGACAAATGTGATGCAATAGTGTAAACTCAGCTGCAAGACCTCTTGGAAAAAACCATTTTTTTTTTTTATTTCTCTAAAGCAGCTGTTGCAGCTACTTGGATAGTTACATTTTTACAGTTGTGTTAGCCTTGATTTATTTTGAAAGAGGGGG